GTTTTGTTTTAAGTTTGCAACACGGGTGGAGGGCGGATCGTTTTCAGAATGTTGCTCCCGTCTTGGTGCCGCAAACATTCGTTTTAATTTTGCAGCAGCTTCGCGGAAAAGGGGGCGGTTCCTTCTCAACATGTGATTCTCGCCGTAGTGCCGCGTGCCTTTGTTTTCAAAATTAGCTGCAATAGTTGCATGGATGGAGGGCGTGTCGCTTTCAACAAGTGGTTCGCGCCTGGGCGCCGCGCGCATTTGTTGAACAACGTTGCAACAGTTTCACGGATGGGGGAGGCTCCTTTTGAAACCGTGTCTCTCGCCTTAGCGCCGCGCGCATTCGCTGTAAACGTTCGCACGACTTCACCGCGTTCTTATGGTTGACGTCCCACAAACGGTGTCGCGCCACAGCTTATCAGGGCGCAACAGACACGTTGATTCTCGGTGGTAACGTCACCGAAATGGTGCTCTGGCATGCGGCATGATGCAGGACCGTCAGGACGCAACATCCAAGTTGATTCGCGGCGTTGATATTGAAGGAGTGCTGTTTTGGTGCAGTGGAGGATTATCAGACGGTCTTCTTCCAACGGGGCACTACGAGCAATAACAACAATTTCTGAGCGCTTCGCGTAACCCCACCAGCCCATCCAGGAACGATGCCCAGGCGACTTGCCCTGATCAGGGATGTGGAGGGGCATTCAGTGAAATAACGGGCTGGAGAAGCCGTCCTACCCCGAGAGGGGGAGGATGGAGGAATCGTCGTCGTCGTCGTCGCCCGTCGTCGTCGTTAGGGGATGATGAGGTTGATAATGATGATGATGACGATGATGATGATGATGATGATGATGATGATGATGATGATGATGGTGGTGGTGGTGGTGGTGGTGATGATGATAACGATGATGATGATGATGATGATGATGATGATGATGATGATGATGATGATGATGATGATGATGATGATGATGATGATGATGATGATGATGATGATGATGATGATGATGATGATGATGCTGATGATGATGATGATATTGATGATGATGATGATGATGATGATGATGATGATGATGATGATGATGATGATGATGATGATGATGATGATGATGATGATGATGATGGTGGTGATGATGATGATGATGATGATGCTGATGATGATGATGATGATGAGGAGGAGATGAGGGAGAGGAGGAGATGAGGAGGAGGAGGAGGAACAGGAGGAGGAGAAAAAGGGAGGGGGAGGGGGAGGGGGAGGGGGGGGAGGGGAGGGAGATGGGGGAGAGGAGGAGGAGGAGGAGGCAGGAGGAGGAACAGGCGGAGGAGGAGGAGGAGGAGGAGGAGGAGAGGAGGAGGAGGAGGAGGAGGAGGTGGAGGAGGAGGAGGAGGAGGAGGAGGGCGAGCAGAATAGCCAGAGGCCTCTTAGGTGCCTCTTGGAGTCTTGGAGTCCTTTCGGCGCGTCTTGGGGGCCTCTTGGCGGTCCCGGGGGGCTCTTGGAGCGTGCTGGGTGTCTCGGGGTGCCTCTTGGGGTCTCTCGGGGGTTTCTTGGGAGCCTCTTGGGGACCTGTTGGGGTGCCTCTTGGGGCCTCCTGGGCTCATCTTGTGACCCTCTTGGGGCACTCTTCGGAGCCTCGGAGGCCATCTTGGGGGAGATCGATCAAAGAAGGGCGGGGTCCCAAGTAATGCCCCACCCATGAGGAAGAAGGGGGTGCCTTCCCTCCCTCCCTCCCTCTCTCCCTCCCTCCCTCCCTCCCTTCTCTCCCTTCCTCCCCCTTCCTCCCTCCGCATCCTCCCCCCGCTCCCTCCTCAGCTTCCTCCTCATCCTCCTCCTCCTCCTCCTCATCCTTCTTCCCCCTCCTCCTCGTCAGCCTCCTCCTCCGCCTCTCCCTCCTCGTTCTCCTCCTCATCCTCCTGCCTCCCACAGTCGCCTGCTTCCCTCCCTCCCCTCCCCTCCTCCTCCCCGCCCCCTGGTTCCCCTCCTCCTCCAGGTGCAGCTGTACCTGGAGTTCCCGCCGGAGGCCCAGCGCCCGGGGAGGCTGCTCAAGGCGGCTCTGCCGCACCGTGCCGCTCCCCCCCTCTCTCTTGCATTCGGGGAGGGGCGCGGTCACGGGGGCCCGTCGAGAGCGGGGGTTTGGAGTCCCGCGCGTTCGAGGGCGTGCGCGCGAGGCTTTCACACCGAGTTCGCGCGCTCGCGTCTTGGAAAGCGCTCGTGGAGGGGGTGCGCGCGCCAGTTCTGCGTGCTTTTTCGCGTGTTCTTCCTCGTCCTCTCCCTGCATCTGCATTGCTCCCAAAACGAGCAGAGTCGTCCCTATTTTTTGTGTTGGGGGTTGGGGGTGTTGGTTGCGTTTTTAAATCTTTTGGGGTGGGCAGGGCGGGGACAAAAAGATTAACTGCTACTCCGCCTCCTCATATTCCTCCGCCTTCGCCCTCTGGAGCCGCAGAGCTTCGCAGGGCACAGTTTTGATGCCGCCCACCCCGAGGGGGAAACACATACAAACGGGGCAACCTGTGTGGTACTAGTGGTAGTGGTAGTAGTAGAAGAAGAGGAAGTAGTAGTAGTAGTAGTAGTAGTAGTAGTAGTAGTAGTAGTAGTAGTAGTAGTAGTAGTAGTAGTAGTAGTAGTAGTAGTAGTAGTAGTAGTAGTAGTAGTAGTAGTAGTAGTAGTAGTAGTAGTAGTAGTAGTAGTAGTAGTAGTAGTAGTAGTAGTAGTAGTAGTAGTAGTAGTAGTTAGTAGTAGTAGTAGTAGTAGTAGTAGTAGTAGTAGTAGTAGTAGTAGTAGTAGTAGTAGTAGTAGTAGTAGTAGTAGTAGTAGTAGTAGTAGTAGTAGTAGTAGTAGTAGTAGTAGTAGTAGTAGTAGTAGTAGTAGTAGTGTAGTAGTAAGTAGTACTGGTAGTAGTCGCAGTAGTAGTAGTAGTAGTAGTAGTAGTAGTAGTAGTAGTAGTAGTAGTAGTAGTAGTAGTAGTAGTAGTAGTAGTAGAAGTAGTAATAGAAGTAAGTAAATAAGAAGTAAAATATAGTGCAATAGTAGCAGTGGTATAGTAGTAAGTAGTAAGTAGTAGTAGAAGAAGAAGAAGTAGTAGTCGTATTAGTAGTAGTAGTAGTAGTAGTAGTAGTAGTAGTAGTAGTAGTCGCAGTAGTAGTCGTGGTCGTAGTAGTAGTAGTATTAGTAGTAGTAGTAGCAGTAGTAGTAGTAGTAGTAGTAGAAGTAGTAGTAGTAGTAGTAGTAGTAGTAGTAGTCGTAGTCGTAGTCGTAGTAGTCGTAGTAGTAGTAGTAGTAGTAGTAGCAGCAGCAGTAGTAGTAGTAGTAGTAGCCGTAGTAGTATATGCCGTTGTAGTAGATGTCGTAGTAGTAGTAGTAGTAGCCGTCGTAGTAGTAGTAGTAGTAGTAGTAGAAGAAGTAGAAGTAGTAGCAGTAGTAGTCGTAGTAGTCGTAGTCGTCGTAGTAGGAGTAGTAGTAGTAGTAGTAGTAGCAGTAGTAGTCGTCTTTGTCGTCGTCGTCGTCGTAGTAGTAGTAGTAGTCGTAGTCGTAGCGTCATAGCAGTAGATGCCGTGGTAGTAGTAGTAGTAGTAGTAGTAGTAGTAGTAGTAGTAGTAGTAGTAGTAGTAGTAGTAGTAGTAGTAGTAGTAGTAGTAGTAGTAGTAGTAGTAGTAGTAGTAGTCCTACTTGTAGTGGTAGTAGTAGTAGTAGTAGTAGTAGTAGTAGTAGTAGTAGTAGCAGTAGTAGTAGTAATAGTAGTAGTCGTAGTAGTAGTAGTAGTAGTAGAAGTAGTAGTCCTACTAGTAGTAGTAGTCGTCGTAGAAGTTTAAGTACGCTGCGTCTCATTCTTATTTTTATCACTTCCAGAATTGTTCTTACTATGGATGTTTTTTATCATTATCAATACTGCTACAAGTATATTGGTTTCTACGACTACTCCTACTATTACTAGTTAAGCTTTGCATTCTTGTAATTCTTTTATTCCCTACCTAGGCTCTGCCTAGAAGGGTTCTTACCCTCTGTCTTAAAGGGGCCGGGCAGTGGAAAACGCCCCGGGCGGTTCCCCCAGGATCCGCCCCGCGGTTCCCCCAATTACGTCCCCTTAGCTTAGCGTTGCTTATCTCATCTTAGCTTAGCTTATTCCATCTTAGCTTAGCTTAGCTTCATCTTAGCTCAGGTTTATCCTAGCTTAGCTTACCTTCATCTTAGCTTTGCTGAGCTTTAGCATAGGGGAGCACAGCATAGCATAGCATAGCGTAACATAGCATAGCGCAGCACAGCATAGCATAGCATAGCCCAGCGTAGCATAGCATACCGCAGCATAGCATAGCATAGCATAGCATAGCATAGCATAGCGCAGCACAGCACAACACATCGTAGCACAGCGCAGCATAGCATTTCATAGTATAGCAGAGCATAGCATAGCATAGCAGCAACGCAAAGGCAAAGCAACAGCAGCGACAGCAACGCAAAGCACAAGCAAAGGCAAAGCAAAGCAAAGCATTAGCATAGGTGTAATTCCCTACCTAGGCTCTGCCTAGAGGTTTAGCTTAGCTTAGCTTAGCTTAGCATAGCGCAGCGCTGCATTAGCATAGCATGGCATAGCATAACATAGCCACACATAGCATAGCATAGCATAGCATAGCGCAGCCGAGCATAGCATAGCATAACATAGCATATAATAGCATAGCGCAGCTTAGCATATCATAGCATATCATAGCATAGCATATCATAGCGCAGCTTATCATTTCATATCATAACATATCGTAGCTTAGCATCGCATCGCACAGCGCCGCATGACATAGCATAGCTTAGCATAGCATACCACAGCATAGCATAACGCAGCATATAATAGCACATCATAGCATAGCATGGCGCAGCATAGCATGGCATAGCATAGCACAGCATAGCACAGCATAGCAACTAATGCTGCTTTTCTAGGGGCTCCAACTTCTAGGTAGGGTCGCACTGGGGTAACGATCATCATCGTCGTTGTCGTCGTCATCATCATCATCATCCGCATCATTCGCCACTTTCGCTCAAGCAACGTCGGCCAGGGCGGGGGCGGTCGAGCTAGCGCAGATCCCAGAGATGGCCCGTGGGGTGGCGGCGAGCGCCGCGGTACCGCTGGCGCTGCCGCGCGTCGCGCCCGCAGGCCTGCGGCTGGCGCGCGGCGCTGTGCGCCGCACCGCTTCGGCCGCTGGCGAGCCGACCGCGGGCATCGTGGGCCCCCTGCTGGCCGGCGGGGGGCCGCTGGGCTGCGTGCTGCGCAGGGCCACCGCGCGCGGGCGCAGCGGCGCGCGGCGCGGAGCCGGCGGCGCCGCGGCCGCCACCGCGGCCACCCGCGTGCTGCTGGTGGACCCACTCTCCTCCTCGCTGCGGCAGCGCCTGGCCGTGGCTGGCTGCGCCGTGGAGGATGAAGCAGTGGCGAATCGTCCAGGCCTGCCTGAGCAAAATGTTCTAAGATCCAGCTGGAGTTTGCACGAATTGTTCTGAGAACATTTCTTGCTGGGACCGTCGCTTTGCAAAACGTCGGCTCCATGTCTTAAGAACATTGTTTTGTTGTCAGAACATTCTGTGGTCCCAAGAGATCTCCTGGTAGGCCTACAGGAGTGCTGGGACGGTCGGTCTCTGCTCAAGAGGAGCGCGCGCCGGCGGAGAGCGTCGAGGAGGCGCTGGCCCGCGCGAGGCCAGAGGTGGTGATCATCCGCTCGTCGCTCCTCCGGGAGGAACAGCTCCAGGGGGAGGGTGCCTCGGGCATTCAGCTGGTGATGCGCGCGGGCGCGGGCGTCGACAACATCGCCGTCGGTGCGCTGCTGCGCCGCGGCGCGGTGGTCGCGAACGCGGCGGGCGCCAACGCGGTCGCGGTGGCGGAGTTGACGATGGCGCACCTGCTGAACCTCGATCGGAGGCTGTCCGACCAGGTGGCGTCGCTGCGGCAGGGCCAGTGGCGCCGCCTGGAGTTTGCCCCCGTGGCGCGGGGCCTCTGCGGGAACATCTTGGCGGTCCTCGGCCCGGGCCACATCGGCCGCGAGGTCGTGAAGCGCGCCCTGGCCTTCGGCATGGATGTGCGTTGCTGGGGTCGAGCCTCTGGCCGGAGCCAGGCCGAGAAACTTGGTGCCACCTGGTGCGACAGCCCCGCCGACGCGGTGCGGGGCGCTTACGCGATGACGGTGCACCTCCCGCTGAGCGCCGAGACCGAGGGCTTGGTGGGCAAGGCGCTGTTCGAGCTGCTCGACCCTGGCGGACTCGTGGTCAACATGTCGCGGGGGGGCGTGGTCGACGAGGCCGCGCTCCTGGAGGCCGTCCGGGAGCGCGGGCTCCGCGCGGGCCTGGACGTCTTCGACCTCGAGCCCGCAGCGGACGACCGCGAGTTCAGGGACGGCGCCATCATGAGCTGCAAGGGCATCTTCGGGTCGCACCACACTGGCGCGCGGACGGCACAGGCGGCGCTGGCAGTCGAGGACGCGGTGCTCCGAGCCGTGGAGGCGCACCTGAGCGGCGCGCCGGTGCCGGGCGCGGTGCGTCCGTCCGCGGCCGAGGCGGTCAGGTAAGAATCATCATCACAACGATCATCATCGTCGTCGTCGTCGCCGTCGTCGTCGTCGTCGCCGTCGTCGTCGTCGTCGTCGTCGTCATAATTATCATCATCATCATCAGCAACATCATCATCATCATCATCCTCATCATCATCATCATCATCATCATCATCATCATCATCATCATCATCGTTCACATTATCATCATCATCGCCACCATCATCATACTCATAATTATCAGCATCATCATCGTCATCGTCATCGTCATCATCATCGTACACATCATCATTAACATTAGCAGCACCAGCATCACCATCGTTATCACCGTTACCATCGCCATCATCATCACCATCAGCATTACCATCACCATCACCATCATCATCATCCTCAGCATTGATATCACCATCATCATCACCACCATTCTTCTAATTACCATCATCATCGTCACCCACACCACTATCATTGTTATCACCATGATCACCCTCTTCATATGCATCATGACCATCACCAACAGCACCATCTTCAGTATAGACATCATCACCATCTCCATCAACATCATCATCGGCACCAACACTATCATCAAAGTCAGCATCATCATCTTCAGCATCATTACGATCACCACCATCATCATTGTAATCATCATCGTTCATCTTATTATTTTTGTCATTTTATCATTCGCATGAGCATCAATATCAGCATCAACATATCGGTACCATCATCACCATCAGCATCAGCATCATCATCACCACCATTCATCATCATCAGCATCACCATCACCTCCATCATCATTATGTGTATCAGTGCCAGCATCATCATCATCATCACCTTCATCAGCATCATCACCATCATCCTCATCATTATTGTTATTATTATTATTATTATTATTATCATTCTTATTATTAGTATTAGTATTATTAGTTAGTATTATTGTTGTTATCATCATCATTATCATTAGCATCATTGTCATCATTATCATCATCCTCATCATTATCATCATCATCGCCTAATCATCATCCTCATCCTCATCCTCATCCTCATCCTCATCCTCATCATCATCATCATCATCATCATCATCATCATCATCATCATCATCATCATCATCATCATCGGCGTTATTCACTGTTTCCCTAGACTGTTGGGTTGTCCCCTCCTCCTGCTTGCCGTCTCGCTGTCCTCTCCCTCCTCTGCCTGTCCCTGTTCGTCCTCGGCAAATTCGAGTCTCCCTGGAGCCCGTGGAGGCGCCGGCCCAGTGGATGCGGGGTGCTGAGGATCCTTCCCCCGTTCCCCTCTGGCGCCCGGGGCTCCCTGTCTTCTCTCTCTGCAGCCCCCCTCCCTGGACGGCGACACGGTCCGCCCGCCTCGCCTCTCTGCGATCGGGTGCCTGCCTCAGGAGCCAGGCGAATGCTGGCAAACCCGTGGCTGCCAAAGCGGAGCTCCGGGAAATTGTTTTCTTCTTCTGGGAAGCAGCCTGTTTACTATGTAGTGCGGCGTGCGCCGAGTTTTATTCTGGGGATCTGTTTTTTTGTTCTTCCGGGAAGACCGTTCTAGCAGCCACGGATTTGCCAGCCCTCGCCCAGCTTCCCACTGCGCTGGAGATCGGAGGTCTCTGCCCGCCCGCTGCCGCCGCCTCGCTGCCGCTGTCGCCAAGAGAGGCTGATCCGCCCTGCAGCAGGGCAGCTAAGCTGATACGACCAGCCCGAGGCTTCGCCGATGGGCTGGTCTCGCTCGTGCGCGAGGCCCTCGCCCGTGCGCGAGGCCCTGACAAGTTCGAGCGTTGCTCCGCCCGCCCGTCTCCGCCTGCTGCCGCTGACGCTCCCGAGTCGGCTGGGTGACTAGCTCAGTTGTCTGATTTCGTCAGCCTGATCGATCCCCTCCCCTCCTCCTGTGCTTTGCTTTCCCGCTGCCCTTGGCGCCCAACCAGCACGAGCCGAGTGGGTCATGTCATCGTTGGCGCCCGATGCCCTGCGCGGACGAATCGATGAGGCCGAATCGAAGCGGACGAAATGACATTCGGACGAACTGAAATTCGGTCGAGATAGAGCGGAATCCATCCGTGATCCTTCGTGTTATGATGTTCCAACCTATTTTAACCTTGACCACCAGACATAATTTCGAGCGCACCCCAAAACTCGAGGGTTTTCACGTGTCGGGCCCTGGGAGATACTCTTTCGACATTCTTTCGACACTGTTTCGACACTCTTTCGACACACTTTTGAAACTTTTTTGGGTGTTCGAAATTATTTCTGGGATGTGGTCCTCAAGTAGGATGGGAGCAACATCACCCTCGTGGTGGGTGTCGAGGTTAGCTGCTTCGTGGCTGCTGTTCCTTTGTGGCAGGCCTTGCGGTGTCCGCCCTCCGCGCCCCGGTCGGGCGGGCGGGCAGGACCTCGGGAGGCTTGCCGGGAGTACTCCTCCCGAGGGTGGAGTGGAATTTGCCAGGGTCTGGGCTCGAACTCAGGAGTCCCACCAGGATCGAGTCCTCGAATCCCCTCCTCCTCACTCCTTCTCCTTCCTGGGGTGAGGAGGGAAGGGGGAGAAGGAAGAGGAGGATGAGGAAGAGGAGGAGGAGGAGGAGGAGGAGGAGGAGGAGGAGGAGGAGGAGGGTTTAGAGGACCCCCTTCCCCTTCTCCCCCTCTTCCCCGTCCTGCTTCCTCCTCCCTCCTCCTCGTGATGGTTGTCCTCCCCTTTCTCATCCCTCGCGCCTCCATTCCCGCTTCCCTCCCTCCTGTTTCTCATCCTTCCTCTTCCTCCTTCTCCTCCTCCTTCTCCTCTTCCTCCTCCTCCTCCTCCTTCTCCTTCTCCTCCTCCTCCTCCTCCTCCTCCTCCTCCTCTCCTCCTCCTCCTCCTCCTCCTCCTCCTCCTCCTCCTCCTCCCCCTCCCCCTCCCTCCCCCCCTCCCAGAGAGGGCGAGGGGTGCGCCGCTGCAGGGCTTCCAGAAGACTGGCGTCATAGCACCGGGCGACGTGACGGAGGTCGTCTGGCCCCAGACCTGTCGGGAGGAAGAGCAAAGAGGATCAGGAGAGTGAGGGGAGGAGGGAATTGAGGAGGAGGGGGAGGGGGAAGAAGAGGAGCAGGAGGAGGAGGAGGAGGAGGCGGAGGAGGAGGAAGAGGAGGAGGAGGAGGAGGAGGAGGAGGAGGAGGAGGAGGAGGAGGAGGAGGAGGAGGAGGAGGAGGAGAGAGAGGCGAGAGAGGAGAGGAATAAGGACGATGATAGTGAGGACGAGAGGGAGGTAGAGGGTACTAAGGGTATTGATGATACGGAGTGGGTCAGCACCCCCTGGCACCTAGCCCAAAGCGGCAGACTACTCTACCTCACCAGGAGCACTTTTCCCTGCTACGCTGATCACCCTCCCAAGCAACAAGCGCCTTGGGCGACTCAAGACCGTGCAACCTGGCAATCTGCACGACTGTGAGCGATAGGATGTCCACTATGGGCGAGTTAGATGGCTGGGCAGCTGCCGTCGCAGGGGGGACCTTTACAGCATCAGCGTTACGGCCCGACCCCCCACCAGCCGCTCACCCTGAGGGCTCGCATCCCAGCAGAGGACCCCAAACGGCTTAGATTTCCTGCGGTGGTCCTGAAGGGCGGCCCGGCGGTGGCCTTGCCCAGGTTGTGCCCTGGGAACCGATCGCGCCTGAGCCTAGATCTCTGGGTCTTATATCCAGCATGCGAGGCTCCATGACCCGTGCCCAGGAGGCCCCCCCTCGCGCATGCTGATGCGCCGAGGCCGCACAACACTTACAGACAAGAAGACCCTGGAGCCTGTCTCCACTCGCAGCTTGGACCTCGGCCTGAACAACGGAGTGCCCTCGGAACTCCCAAGGGACCCCCGAAGCCTGGAGGAAGCCCCTGGGTTCAGGAGGAGGTGGAGGAGGGGGCGGAGACGGAGGCACCACAGCCCCTACAGCTCTGGAGCTCCCATCAAAAGGATGCACCCCCTCCTCCTTGCACAAAGCAATCAAGGCTTGCGGACTCTCATCCTCGAATTCAATGTCTGCTGTGCCTGCTATGCCGTGATAATCTGGCTGCTCAAGAGCCTCGAAGGCGGGTCGGGCACGGCCGTGCCACAGAACGCAATCTCGAACAATTGTCTTGCAACCTGAAGTATAGAAGGGCCAGTCCTCTGGAATACCCCAAGGTTGAGCTCCCTGCCGCGCGAGCTTGTCTGCTGCTCAATTCCCTCTAGTTCACCAGAGCTCCTCGTCCGACTGAGCGTCTCTCTCAGCCTGGTGCGCCTTGACCTTGGAGACTCGGGCTTCTGCCCGATGCCTTGCCACCAGTTAGTCCAGAAATGACCCCTCGGTTGGAAAAGGTGAGAGCAGCTCCTGAGTCCTGCGCGCAGCCACCTGTACCTGCGCAGTCGCAGAAGACTTCGAGCGGGTCTTCCTCGCTCGATTCGGAGTAGCAACTCAACATTGGAAGCCATAATCCTTTCCGTCTCTGGCGACGTGGGAGGGAGCAAACCAGAGTGTCACGCCACCATACATGGCTGCCTTGAGCTGGCACGCGCGGTCGACCGCCACCACAGCCCATCCAGCTCTACCAAGCCCAGCATGGGCCGTGTTGAAAGCGCTCCCGTCGACGAAGACCTGGCCCGAAGATTTCCAACCAGGAAAACCTGAACACACCTCAACCAGTGTTCTTCGGGCGCCTCGCGACGGAGAAAAGCAAACTCTGGGCTGGGTCAGCGACAACCCGAGAAGGTGTCACCGAAGTATTCACTCAGCCTTCTGACAAACTAGCAGGGCGGGCAGCACTGCCTACGATTATTAAACAGCCTGGGGCACAGGTAGAAGCGATGGAAAAGAGTCCCGCGGTCTCCGGAGTGAGCACGGCGATCGTGCAAGGCTTTGCCGTGATAGTGAAGGCGAGCCTGGAGGCCAGTGACTACCTCCCAACAGGAGAACGTATAGCAGCTGCCGTGTGTGCTGTCCAACCCGCTGTGAATTCCCTGGCAAGCACCGCAGCGACAGGGACCCAATGAAGAGGTGAGATCCGAGCACCCTCCATCCTGC